ACTTGTAGCTATAGGTTTGTCCTATCTGCCAGCACACTGCAACATTCAGTATAGAAAGGAGTAAAAAGTTACAGATGCAAAAAGGTTTGTTTTGTCCCCAAACCCAGTCCACATTGTATTGTCGAAGGCTTTCATGGCTGAAATCACTGGGTTGTTGTAGGTTTTTTCGGGCTATATGGCCATGTTCTAGAGGCATTATCTCCTGACATTTCACCTGCATCTATGGCAAGCATCCTCAGAGGTAGTGAGGTCACAGCCTCTGAGGATGCTTGCTACAGATGCAGGCAAAACATCAGAAGGGAATGCTTCTAGAACATGGCCATAAAGCCCGAAATACCTACAACCCATTCCACATTCTTTCCCAACCTCCAGAGGGTGGACACAAACAGACAGCAGATTGCTTCAAATGCAACCAGTTTATTAAAATTCCCATCAGACCACTTGGCCAATCCACTGCTGAGATTCACAGGCCTTTAAATGTTTGGCCAATCAGCAGCCAGGGATAAACAAACCCCTTCGTCCAATGATGCCGTGGATCCTAGAAGTTCAGCAATCACCTTTGTTTGTCATGTTATCCAATGTGTATGCTTTTCTATATAATGCCCATGCTTGTACCTTGAGGGCATGCAGGATTTGGGAACTGTTTGCCTCCAATGTCCATCTGAAATTGATTTCTGTTCCTGTTTTCAGCTCTTGCATATTTCATTGGATCAGATTGGGAGTTATAGTATGCAGGACAACAGGAATTGGGTTCTAAGAGCCCTGTGGATCCCACAATCCATGAATGCTCAGATCCCTTTATATACAATGGTTTATTAAAATGAATTTGTTTTGATTTTTTAAAATTCAACCATAGCTGGTTGAACCCTTCAATAAGGAAGACTGACTAGTGTCCCTTCTCCTTTCTGCACATGCACATGCAATACATACTGTGGTGGCATAACAGCAGTGTTATCTCATCCTTCAGTGTAACTAATGTCTAGACTGGCTGCAATCTTATGCAATTTATGTTTGATGTAAGTTCCATTGAATTAAGTAGGATTACATCTGAGTAGTAGTAAAAGGTGGCACCTCTCGTCAAACTCAGATTTGACAGGTGACACGCCCACTTTGAGGGGAAGGCCCCTCCCACGCCCCTCCCACGCCAACCCCGGAAGTCCCGCCTCTCCTAAACAGGAAATGGATGCCAGAGAGGCCCTCCCACGGCCTGAAACCCCACCCCTACTGCCCACCCCACCCCCCACCCTAACCCTAACCCTATTGTGTGGAACATAGCATGGATAGACCTATCCCCAATGAATGGCATGTGGAAATGAACAGCCTGGCCCCCTTGCGGTCCCCTTCTAAGATGACACACGTGATGCAGGGTAACCAATAGGGAATGGTTTAGGCCCACAAGATGACTATGTGATAGTGGGGCCCAATAGGCGTTGTTTTTAGGGTTTAAATAACTGTACTAGAGTTTAGGGAGGCCCTCTGACCATTTTGCAGAACAACACATAATATGGAATCACCCGCTGGACCTTCAACCTCCGTGAGCCTTTCAGTACCAGATGCGCCTAGAAAGAAACAAGCAACTATGAAGAGAACAGCTGAAAGCGACTACAGGTACTGGTCTTATCCAATCACGGATGGGGCAACAGGATTTTCCATACCGGGAACACCAGTGAGCAGTCCTAAAAAGCGGAGAGAATCCTCGAGTGCAAAACCGCCGACAAGGCTCAACTTATTACCGGGTCTTTATGCTGTGAAAAATAAATTCACAGATGTTGAGCCTGATTTTTATGGTCGGGGTACAGACCGTGTCGAATTGAAAAAGCTTTACCCTGAAATGCCGAGAATGCGATGTGTCGGCGCTGATGTGGATGATGATGATGAAGGGTATGGAAGTCTGACTAATAACCTCGGCTACCAGGACGAAGAGATAGTGCCTGATACAGACCCAGAGGATTTGAAAAAGCTTTTCCCTGAAATGCAGAGAAAACAAAGTGCTGTGGCTAATAGCGAAAAGATGGTTGAAGGAATGGATGGCTATATTGATGTGTCTGATAATGATGAAGGGTATGGAAGTCTGACTAATAACCTCGGCTACCTGGACGAAGAGGTAGTGCCTGATACAGACCCCCGGGATTTGACAAAATGGCGTTCCAAAATGCAGGAAAAACGCTGTGCAGAGGCTGAGGCTGAAAAGATGGATGAAGGAATGGACTGTAAAGCAGACTATAAGGATACTGAGAGTATGTGTGAAGAACCAAACCCAGACAGAAGCATTCGAAGGTCACTCCTATCTGATCTGATGAAGTATGCGGCAGAGGAAAAGGAAAACATGGCTGTTGATGAAAACACTTCTGACGGTTTTGAGAGTTCTAAGCGTTAGAATGTCCAAACTGTGTATGTGTGGGAGGGGGTGGTGGGGAATGGTGTTGGGAAAGAGAGTGATGAAATTGTGTGCTGTAGACTCAATGCTATTTGTTTGATTTCCGTAGGGAAGTATCCACTTTTCGGGTGATGTGCGGAATCTTCAGATTGGGGACTCTCAGACCATGGAAGTTTCCATCATGTCCTGTCTTTAAAACAAATCCTACAGAATAGAGATGCTATGTGTGTTTTCTCAATAAAATGTGTTTGATCTGTACCCGTGTATTCATTTCATGCATTAAGCGACATGTCAGAATACGATGAAATCCTAAAGAAAATATATTATTCGCCGGGGAAGGTAGGAAGCCTCGGAGGCGTTTGTCCACTTTTTCAAGAAGCCAGAAAACAATGCAAAAGTGTGAGGAAGTGGGATGTTACTCAATGGTTATCCAAACAAGACAGTTACACGTTACACAGGCCAGCAAGGATCCATTTTAGAAGAAACAAGACTATTGTTTCTCATGTGGATTCTCAATGGCAGGCAGATTTAGTGGATATGCAGCGACTTTCCAAGTTTAACCGTGGTTACAAATACATTTTAACGGTGATAGACATCCTGTCTAAATACGCATGGGGGGTACCTCTGAAGGATAAGTCAGCTAGAGAGGTGGCTGTGGGGTTTAATACTATCTTTACTCAAGATGGCCGAAAACCTGAAAAATTACAGACAGATCGAGGCCGTGAGTTTCTAAACAAGTCAGTATCCGCCCTGTTGAAACATCATGGGGTCCATCATTTTGTCACCAACAATGAGGTTAAAGCTGGAGTTGTGGAGCGATTTAACAGAACTTTAAAAACAAGAATGTGGAGATATTTCACAGCTCATAACACATTTACCTACATCGATGTTCTGCCTTTGTTACTCAAAACTTATAACCACAGTTTTCACCGTACTATCAAAGCAAGACCCGTAGATGTTAATGACTCCAATGCTTTAGCCGTGTGGAGGGAAGTTTACGGGGCCCCTGTGAAAAGAATAGAGGTGAAGGTAAACCAAATCAGAAAAGGAGACCACGTGAGGATTTCCAAAAGCAAGGGTAAATTTGCTAAGGGGTACGAACAGAACTTTACCACAGAGATATTCATTGTGGACCAGGTTCTTCAAAAAACAGACAAGCCTGTGTTTCTTTTGAAAGATTATGGGGGTGAAGACGTCATAGGCAGCTTTTATACTGAAGAACTGCAAAAGATTAATACAGACAAAGACTGCATCTACAGGATTGAAAAAATTCTATCCACAAAAGGCCAGGGGGCGAGAAAGCAATGCTTAGTGAAATGGTTAGGATGGCCTAGCAAGTTCAACAGTTGGGTTCAGGCTTCCGAAGTAACAGAACTTGACTAGCTGAGAGCTTTTTTATCCCTAAGGAAAGAAATGGGGGATGGTGGTTTTTATGTCACATTACCTAGCAATGCGAGTGCTATAGCCTTTCCCGGGAACTCCATTTCAAGCTTCACTATATCATTAGCAAAACCTCTAGAGCTCACGGGGGCCTGGGAAGTAGGACTAGTTGAAATACAGTATCCTCACACCTGGGATAATCTGACGACCCACCCAACTTTTACTATTGTACAAGAAGAAAAGAAGTGGGTCTTCTTTCTGGAGAACGGGTATTATTCTAACATCCCTGAGCTGTTGAGATATATGAACGAACGCATTTCAACACGATGGAACCCCCTGAATGCGGTTCTTAAGTATGAACCAGTGAGCAGAAAGGTCCTACTTAAACCCGAGAATAAGTATACGATAGTAGCTGACAAGGAATTACAGTATATATTAGGGCTGCACCCCAACATTCCGTCCAATGAGTCAGCTTTCTCAGCAGACATCACAGGAGGTTTCAACACCTTATATGTTTACACCGATATAGTGGAGCACCAGCTCGTTGGGGATTTCTACGTTCCTCTGCTGCGATGTGTGCCGGTGCAAGGGAAGAATAACGATCGTATCAACATCTGTTACGATAAACCCCACTACATCCCCGTGAGCAAACACCACATAGACACTCTCACTGTTGAGATAAAGTCAGACCAGAACAAAAATGTACCATTTCGTTTTGGAAAGGTGATCGTGAAGCTTCACTTCCGCCCCAGGAGGACCTAGGATCTTTAAAATGGCCATCTTGAAATCCTATGGGGACCCTGGTCTTTATAAAAACTATTACAGGGCACAAGCTGGAAACGGTCTACCAGGGTATCATGGTATTCCACAAATGTATGGCTCGGGCCTAGGCGGGATTTTCAGAAGCCTTTTCTGAAAAGCTGTACCGCTTTTGAGAAGAGGTTTTGACATCATTAAATCCCACGCAAAAACAGCCGCACGTAATATAGCCAACGACATGGTCGGTCATATCACCCAGGCTGTTCTAAACAGAACAAGACCTGCAAACCCTCAAGAGGGATCGGGGCTTATGTATATTAGAAGGAGAAGAGGGTTAAAAAGAAAAGCATCGCAACTGAGATTGAAAGGCCCGCCTCACCCCATTAAAAGGAAAGTGCAACGTAGAAAGAAACCCCAGAAGCGTCGAGGAGGTAGAAAGAGGAGGAGGATACAGTCTACGAACGATATATTCTAAAACGGCAGCATGGCTTTTATTCACGGATGTTCTGAAGAGTGCACCAAATCCGAACTTGATTTGTTTCACATAGGGCCTACACAAACTAGTATTGAGAGAAGCCTTTATATTGAAGTTCCACCATTAACCGCTCTCACAGAATCCTCACCCTTGGACTTTTTTATTGCCGGAAATGGCGAAGACTATATGGATCTCAACAACACGCTTTTATATCTGACGTGCAAAGTGGTGAATGAAGACGGAACAAACCTGGCTAACGGGGCAGCGGTAGGTCTCGTGAATTACCCGATAGCCTCCATTTTCAGCCAGTTAGATGTGACTTTAGGGGACCGACTCATCAGCCAAAGTAACAACTGCTATCCTTACAGAGCATACATTGAATCCGTGCTGAACTATTGCGAAGACACACTAGCCACGCAATTTACGGCTGGGGCTTTTTATAAAGACAATGCAGGGGAACACGAGATTACGGGTCTGGATGGGGCAAATAAAGGTTTTAGCAAAAGAGCATTCCTGGGAGCTGGTAGTAAAAAAATAGACTTGATGGGGCATCTCCATGCTGACTTGTTTTTCCAAGAAAAACTGCTGCTGAACGGTGTTGATGTGAAAATTAAACTCACCCGCAATAAAGATGCCTTCTGCTTAATGAGCAACGATGCAAACAGGCATTACAAATTACAGATTTTATCAGCCTCCCTCTTTGTCAAAAAAGTGAAATTGACACCAGGCGTCCGCCTAGGACACGCTGAAGCCCTCCTGACATCTAATGCCAAATACCCGGTGGACCGTGTAAGCATGAAAGTATTCAGCATACCGGTAGGGAGCCGTGTCTCCAATCAAGAGAACCTGTTTTTGGGACAACTTCCTAAGCAGGTGGTGCTAGGACTCGTTGATAACGATGCTTTCAGCGGATCATACACTAAAAACCCTTTCAACTTTAAGCATTATGACATCAATTTTGCAGCACTCTACTTGGATGGTGAGCAGTATCCTATGAAACCATTTCAACCCAATTTTGAAGAGGATAATTGTGTGAGAGAATATATGAGTTTAGTCCAGACCGCTGGCAAACACATGAGAGACAGTGCAGTTTTAATTAACCGTGAGGAGTATGCAAAAGGCTACACACTCTTTGCATTTGACCTGACTCCGGATCAAGAATGTGCAGACCATTACTCGCTGATTAAAACTGGAAACCTGAGGGCAGAGCTGCGTTTCGCCAAGCCTCTACCAACAACCGTCAATATGGTGGTTTACGGCGTTTTTGACAACGTGATAGAAATAAATCACAGGAGAAACGTCTTGTTTGATTATATGTGAAATGGATAGCCTGCAGTTAACTCGACTACTAAGCTCAAACCCCTATACTCAAAACAGTTTCTATGGTGTGTTACCCTGTGACAAACTTCCAAGAAAGCACATGCAGCAAAGACCAGTAGCGCTGATTATCAATACTCATCCCCATAACCTTCCCGGAGAACACTGGTTAGCTGTTTACCTACCGAATGAAAGGACAGCTGAATTTTTTGACTCATATGGACACCCTCCTGACTATGCTTTGTTTCCCAAAGCCATTGTGAACTTTTTAAGAAGAAATGCCAGCAAAACTGTGTTTCAATGCAGACCTGTACAGGCCTCAGACTCAGTTGTTTGCGGACATCACTGCTTTTTTTTTCATTCATCAACGATGTATGGGGGTATCCTTTAAAAATATTAGCGCGTTATATTCCGACGATTTGGATAAAAATGACAAAATGGTTATGCGTTTTGTGAAGAAAATGAACACAAGGACCCGTTCCTCAGATATGTTTCAAACCTTGCCAAGAAAACTCTGTGATAGGGGCCTATTCAATAATATAATTAGAGCTTGCAGGCAAAGCCTTTCACAAATAAATGCACTGCCCTTTCTTCCATAAGAAGCGGCCTTCAATACCGTTGACCACGATATCCTTCTGGGACGCCTCGTAGACATGGTACTTGGGGGTATTGCTTTGCAGGGGCTCCAGTCCTTTCTCGAGGGATGGTCCCAGAAGGTGTTATTGAGTGACACCTGTTCGACCCCACAATCATTGATGTGTAGAGTCCCACAGGGTTCAATACTGTCCCCGATGTTGTTTAACATCTACATGAAGCCGCATGGGGGAGATCATCCGGAGTTTCAGAATGAGGTGTTATCTTTATGCAGATGATGTCCAAATCTGTCACTCCTTCTCACCTGTCACCAAGGAGGCTGTCCAGACCTTGAACCGGTGCTTGGCGGCTGTGTCGGACTGGATGAGAGCTAACAAATTGAAACTGAATCCAGACAAGACAGAGGTCCTACTGGTCAGTCACAAGGCCAAACAGGGCATAGGGTTACAACCTGTGTTAGATGGGGTTACACTCCCCCTGAAGACGCAGGTTTGCAGCTTGGGAGTGATCCTGGACTCATCACTGAGCCTGGAACCCCAGGTCTCAGCGGTGGCCGGGAGAGCTTTTGCACAATTAAAACTTGTGCAGCTGCGCCCGTACCTTGGGAAGTCTGATTTGGCCACAGTGGTCCACGCTCTTGTTACATCCCGAATAGACTACTGCAATGCACTCTACGTGGGGTTGCCTTTGAAGACTGTGGAAACCTCAACTAGTCCAATGGGCGACAGCTAGACTACTCACCGGAGCGTCATGCAGGGAGAATACCACCCCTCTGCTATGTCAGCTCCACTGGCTGCCGATACAGTTCCGAGCACAATTCAAAGTGCTGGTATTGACCTATAAAACCCTATACGGCTCCGGCCCAGCATACCTGTCCGAACATATCTCCTTCTACGTCCCGCCTAGAAATTGAAGATCTTCTGGAGAGGCCCTGCTCTCGGCCCCCCACCTGTGGAATTCACTCCCCGGGGAAATTAGATCATTGTCCTTCCTCCTCTCTTTTAGAAGGAAATTAAAAACATGGATATGGGACCAGGCCTTTGGGTAATCTGGTAGACCGACAAGGACAATGACAACAAGAGCTTTGGAAACAGATTATGATAAGATGAATGGACTCACTAATTACAGAACTCGGCGAAATGATGGCCACCAGGCTGGCTTTTTTCTAGTAGATTTTATTGTATTAATTTAATGTTTTAATTATTTATAATTACTGTTTGTTGTGTATTTTATTGTGTTATTGTGTTTAATTGAAGGCTGGAAGCCGTCCTGAGTGCCCCCCCCCCAGGGGGTTGAGAAGGGTGGGGTAAAAGTACCCGAAATAAATAAATAAATAAATAATTGTCTTGATTCCTGCAACTTAACTGAGAAGAAAGGGGGCCTTTTGTTGTCATAATTCCTAAAACATTGGAAGTCAAAAATACACTCCATTGCAATTACTTTTGAGAACTCAGAGGAAATCCTGAACCACTTTCCATTCATTCCTGCTCTCCTAGAGAAAGCTTAGCAGTTCAGTGGCATGGACTGAATGATCAGCTACCTTAGGCAAGGAAGAGATACCAGAAATGGCAGATGCTTCCTGCTCCTCCTCACAAGCAAGTATCTCAGGCCTGGATAGTCTTAGATCTTGAGAGTTTTCCATCTTTTCATATTGGATCAAACCTGATATTTCTAGCATGTTTCTGGAAGAGGAGCTCCCTCAAGTGGTAAAAATGTCATTAATCATAGAGTTGGAAGAAACTACATGGCCTTCTTGTCCATTCCCCTGCCATGCAGGAAAAAGCACAAAGGACCCAGCTCCTGTTTAAAAGTCAGAGTACAAGGATCAGATTGACACAGAGGAAGCTTGTGCACTAGGTTTTTTTTACTCCTACCTCACCCAGGGTTTTATCATTTTATCTTGTCCATTTGGCCTGCCCATTCTATTTGATTTTATATTGTGTGAATCTGCTTTATTGTTGTATTTTGTTATTATAATTTATTTTTATTTTATTTTTATGTATTTTGTCTTGTATTTTGCATTTTACTGTGTTGTATTGTATTTTTAGAAGGGCTTGGCAAGCTATTAGCTTTCCCGAGTCCCCATTGGGGAGATGGTGGCAGGGTATAAATAAAGTTGTTTATTGTTGTTGTTGTTGTTATTGTTGTTGTTGTTGTTACCTTTGCTTATCTGATGCTGTGGAAATCTACAAACCTTGGGGTAATCCAAGCACTCCATGGGCTGGCATGCTTAAAAAAAAGAACATGTAAATTAGAAATACGCATTTGTAGTAAGGAATTCATTTTTTTCCCTGCAATGCATCCATGTTTTTTCTTACTAGTTTTCTAGGCACTCATATGAGCTAAGGATTGCAGTAACTGATATATAAATTCTCTAAGTGATAACAGTGGCTTTTCAGAAAAGTTGAGATCTCAGCTGAGACCAGGAATTTGTGTATGCAATTGAACCAAGCTAGCCAAAATGCGCAATTCCAGAGGTTAGCCAGAAGAGATAAGGAACTATTTTTAAATAAGCAATGCATGTGTGGAAGTGGAAGAAGACAACAGAATAGGAAGGACAAGAGACCTCTTCCAGAAAATTAGAAACATTGGAGGTAAATTTCAGGCAAAAATTGGTATGATAAGAAACAAAGATGGCAGGGACCTAACAGAAGCTGAAGAGATCAAGAGAAGGTGGCGAGACTATACAGAAGATCTGTATAGGAAGGATAATAATATCGAGGATAGTTTTGACGGTGTGGTGAATGAATTAGAACCAGACATCCTGAGGAGTGAGGTTGAATGGGCCTTAAGAAGCATTGCTAACAACAAGGCAGCAGGAGGGGATCCCAGCTGAACTGTTTAAAATGTTGAAAGAGGATGCTGTCAAGGTGATGTATGCCATATGCTAGCAAATATTGAAAATACAGGAATGGCCATCAGACTGGAAAAAATCCACTTATATTCCCATACCAAAAAAGGGAAATGCGAAAGACTGCTCAAACTTCCGTACAGTGGCCCTTATTTCTCATGCCAGTAAGGTAATGCTCAAGATCCTGCAAGGAAGACTCCAGCAATACATGGAGCGAGAGTTGCCAGATGGTCAAGCTGGGTTTAGAAAAGGCAGAGGAACGAGAGACCAGATTGCCAATATCTGCTGGATAATGGAGAAAGGCAGGGAGTTTCAGAAAAACATCTATTTCTGCTTCATTGACTACTCTAAAGCCTTTGACTGTGTGGATCATAATAAATTGTGGCAAGTTCTTGGTGGCATGGGCATACCAAGCCACCTTGTCTCTCTTCTGAGGAATCTGTACAAGGACCAAGTAGCAACAGTAAGAACTGACCACGGAACAACAGACTGGTTCAAGATTGGGAAAGGCGTACGGCAAGGCTGCATACTCTCACCCAACCTTTTTAACTTGTATGCAGAACACATCATGCGAGGATGTGCGGGGCTTGATGAATGCAAAGCTGGGGTGAAAATGGCTGGAAGAAACATTAACAACCTTAGATATGCAGATGATACCACTCTGATGGCCAAAAGCGAGGAGGAGCTGAGGAGCCTTCTAATCAAAGTGGAAGAAGAAAGCGCAAAAACCGGGTTGCAGTTCAACATCAAAAAAACCAAGATTATGGCAACAAGAATGATTGACAACTGGGAAATAGAGGCCCGCCCTTCTCACCCCTGGGGGGACTCAGGGCGGCTTACATAAAGGGCACAATTAGATGCCCAAACACATAACAAGTAATCCAAAAAGTATAAAATTCAACAGTTAAGTTAAAACAACAATACATAATAAAAGCATAAATCCTAAACACAATCCCATGTCAGAGTCCGTATATCAGAGTCCATACATCCGTTCTATCCGTTTGTCATTATCTATCGCCGGTCCTTGGTTTAATTATCAGATTGACCAAAGGCTTGGTCCCATATCCAGGTCTTTAGTTTTTTCCTAAATACTAGGAGGGAGGTCGCCGATCTAATCTCCCCGGGGAGTGCGTTCCACAGGCGGGGGGCCGCCACTGAGAAGGCCCTGCTCCTCGTCCCCGCCAGCCTCACTTGCGATGCTGGCGGGGTCGAGAGCAGGGCCTCCCCAGAAGATCTTAAACTTCGAGGTGGGACGTAAAGGGAGATCCGTTCGGACAAGTACACTGGGCCAGAACCGTATAGGGTCTTATAGGTCAAAACCAGCACTTTAAATTGTGCTCGGAATTGGATCGGCAGCCAGTGGAGCTGACGCAACAGGGGGGTGGTGTGCTCCCTGTACGCCGCCCCGGTGAGCAATCTGGCTGCTTCTCGCTGAACTAATTGAAGTTTCCGAGCAGTCTTTAAAGGCAACCCCACGTAGAGTGCGTTGCAGTAATCCAACCGGGATGTGACAAGAGCGTGGACCACCGTGGCCAGATCCGACTTCCCAAGGTACGGG